ATATATATAACGAATAGTTGGGGACAGCTTGTTTATATATAGAACAAATCTGGATGTATGATATATACTATAGAATAAATGAAACAATGCAGCGATAGAACTAGTTGTGAATTTTAAAATAATACTTGTCAATAGTTCAAATTCAAATCATAGGCAGAAATATTACGTTCATTCTTCACCATTTTATATCCAAAATAATTCACCCAAAAACTCTTTTATTCATTTGAGCGATTTGTTTACCCAGAATTCAATACAGAATTCATTTAATATTGGAAAAACATCTGGTCACTCTGGCATTAACTAGAGCTGCAAAATTGATTATTATCGATTGTAATTATTCAACTGGCAAAGTTTTGTGCTATTTCTTTCTCTTTTCTTTTCATCCAACTGCAAATGCAACTTGTTAAATTTTTTCATCCATTTTTTCTGCACTCATCGTATATGCAAATTGTTTGTTAGACACACAGCAAAAACAAAAAGAAAAATGAACAAGAGGAAGGAAAAGAAGAAGAAAAAAACTGGATTTGCTTCAAGAGCAAAAACTGTGCTACAAATGAGACACGAGAGAAATGGATGTTGTTATATTACTGTTAAATGCTGATACATAACGGTATTCTCTTAATGATGGCTAATAACTCGACAATGACAACAACAACAACAAGAACAACAACAAAAACAACAACAGAAACTACTTATAGGCCCCGAAGAATTTTGTAGGCATTTTCTCAATGGCCTGTTCAAAATAATTGGCCAGCAACAACAAAGCAACAAAAGAGAGGCGAACAAACTTTTGCCGCCGGACATGACAGAATAACAGCAACAACAACTACAACAAATGTAACACAATATAACAACAACAGCAACAAGTACAAGAACAATAGCAACAAGTTGGCAAAGACAGGAAGCCATAGGAAACATTGTCAGCTACACCCAACGTGACATCATCAAAATAATAAAATAGAAAGCCTGTGCAGTGTGCACGACTATGAGATACCCTATATGGGTGGGAAAAGCGACGAATAATTACATTTTCAAGCGCACTCGTAAAACTAGTGAAATATGCATATCAAAGAGTCAGAGAGTCAGAGTTAACGACTAAAATGACTAAAAAATACCCTGTATTTAATTAAAAATTAGCTAAAAAGCTGAGCTCTGAACATATAACGTGCAAATGATTTTAATTCATCAAAAAATACGCCAAGCCTAAAGAAGCTGCTCTGGAAAGACAGAAAAAACTAGATTTGCACGACTATGAGTTACCATGTGCTTGGCAAAATATAAACCAAAGGCCTTGATTGGGCAGAAAAGCTTAGAGAACGTGTAAGCTAGATTGTTATCCCGAATCAAAACCAATCAGAAGGCATTTCTGCATGACTATAGGATAACCCTGTTTGGTTAAAGCAAGCTAAGAAGCTGAATTGTACAGAAAAAACTGAATAAGTGTCTAGAGTAAACCAATATTGAAGGAACAATCAAAATACAAATGGGCACAACTATAAAACACCCAGTACTTAGAATATTTGATGTTCTTAAAACCATAAAAATGTGTTTTAAGGTGAACGTCTTATAGAGTGAAATTCACTACTTAAAAAGCACAAGCTGCATATAAATTTCAGTATACTCCATTAACAATTGGTTACAGGGTATTAACGACTATTCTACACATTTGTGAGGTAATCCGACGACTAGGCAGCGCGTTTGGCTTTCACGATTGCAATTAAAGGGCGTATGAGAAGACAGCGTAAAAGAGAGAGTGAGGAAGCGACCGAAGAGAGATAGAGAGAGAGTGTGTGTGAAAGAGACTTAAGCAAGCAACCAACTGGCCGGCAGATGCCAATGACCCAGGGGCGTAACTGATGATGACCATTACCAACGGCATTACCATTAACATTAGCCATTGCGATGATGATGAGGCGCAATAAAAGCGTTTAAAATAATGGTAAAAAGCCAAATGCTAACATAAACAACAATTAAAACTAAACGCAAATGCGTAACGAAACAACAACAGAGCGAGACGGGGCGACATCAAACAATGAGCTTGCAAAATAAAAAGAAAACAAAAAAAACTAAAATGTAAAACAACAACAAACTCAAGCTTTACGTGCGAGTAGATACACACAGAGACAAAGCACAAGACAATGACCCAGAGCAAAGAGAGCGGCAATAGCAACAACACTTGAAGAAAAGTCATTAGCATGAGCTTGAACTAGTTGCGCAGGCAACATGTTGACAGAGCGAGCGAGAGAGAGCGCGCTCGTGATCACTGCCTAGGCCAAGGTCAGGTTGGCAACATGTTGACAACATGCACTTACATGTGCGTATAGCGTGAGATGTTGCAATTGCTCATGTTGCCAACGAAACTGCAAATGTTGCGTGTCGCTCGCTCGCTGCCAGCTTCTCCTCCCGTGCTGCTGCTGCTGTTGCTGTGTGGGAAACAAGCTGCCAAGAGCCACAAACTGCATTTGCTGCTGTTGCTGTACAGGTCAAAAGTTGTGCACGCAACATGCATACATACATGTTGACGTGACCAGGTAGACATGTTGCCCGGAAAACCACTTGAAATTAAAGGTCAGCCTGAGGTAGGCATCCAATCAACAACGGCATGCTCGTAACTTTATAATCGTTTTCAACACACTTTGCCACCCCTCCGCCCACTTTTATGCCTCTTTAACAGTGCCCCGCTGTTTCCTCTGCTGCTGCTGCTGCTTCTTTTGCTGCTCCTCTCCTTGGCAACATGAGCTCTAATAATCATGACTTGTTAATCTTTACGCTTCTGCCTTCACACTCGCTACCATCTGGCCAAAGCAGATTTGCTCAAACTCTCTCCCCTCCCTACCCAACCGTCTGCCTCTTCCTTCTCGTTTATCTGCTCCGCGTCACGTCTGGTAAGCTGCTTGCAGCGAAAATAAAAATAAGAAAAATAAGTGGAAGAAGCTGAGGCAGCGCAACAAGCTGGCATTTAACGGTGAATGTTCTGCTTCTTCTTTTTGAAAGCATCTTTTTCACGCATTATTATCATTATTATTATTATGATTATTACAGCCTTAGCTTCATCATCAGCATCATCATCATCGTGATGCAAGTGCAAAAAGCCATTGAACGTTTAGTTTTCACCTTTTGCCAGACAATTTCTTAAGCAGTTCCATCCCTGGAAAAACCCTTTTCCGCTCCATTTCAATTGCAACGGCATCTTTAAAGTTCAACTCAACATTTCTTGTGGTTATCCTTGGCAAAAACACTTTCATTGCGCCTTCGTCGCATTACTTTTTGTTACTTTTCAACCTTGGACAGACGTTTCCTTATCGCGGGTGTTGCCAGAAATGCGTCGCTTGCAGACGTTTTTCCTCCCCCCTACCCCTTGAATTCATTCTTTTTCCCCTACATTTTGCTGTTTAGTGACTTGGAAAACCGCATAAAATTTCGTGTTTCCTTTATTTTCATTTTTTTTTTTTGCTGTTTTCAATCTATTTTTTTGGCACCCAGCCAAGGTTAAGTAGGTCTGCAAAAAAAGTTGTGTGTGGGGCAAAGAGCTTAAGAAGCGTTATGCCAATTAAAGTTTATAAAAATATTTCAAATATTTCCAGGTTTGTTGTGAAGAAGTGTGTGAGGGAAAAATAAGTTCAAGAGTGAAAGAAAAATAAAAAAAAATTGATTTGTTTAATCCGCTATTGAATTAATCTTATAAATATGCTAGCTAGAATTAGTCGGTATTGCCCGGCGCAAGTCTTTACTTTCTAGGAAAAACAATTTTAATTCGTCAAATTTAGAACTCAGTTCTTCAGAAAGAACTGAAAAGCAGAGCGATGCGTTTGGATTTGTGGACAGTTTATGGATAATTTTTGTTCTACTTGTAATTTGTAATAATTAGCCCTGTTTCTCCGTATAAAACACACCACTTTTTTGTCTCTGAGGTTCTATTGAAATACGCAACTTCCCATGTTCCTACAGTCCGAGTTGTGTTTTTCGCCAGTTCGTATAGTCCAGGTTGTGTTTAAAATATATATATTATCTCTTTATTCCAACTATAGTAGTGATACACTCTTTCAAAAACAGTTTCTCGAAACCCTAAATTTTATTATTTTCCAAAATCAGTTTCTCGAAACCCTATTCAAATGCCTTGCTGCCCGCTTCTTTTTGTTTCTCTTATTATTTTATAATTCTCTTACCATATCTACAGAGTTTACCTCCAGCTGCACCTCAACTCCCCTTCTCATTCCAGCGTTATATCATTCCCCCTTCTTATTTTGCCAATCAGTTTCTTCATACATAATGATTTTTCTTCTTCTACTAGCTGGACTGCCATTCGCCATTATTGTCAAGGTCTTTGGTCTAGGCTTGTCTCTGGGAACTGGGAGCTGGGATCTGGGTTTATTCACTTTTATGGCATCCACCGATGCGACAGCTGAACGAATCGAAATGCAAGACCCCATAAAAATAAAAAATATGAAGCAAAAGAGAAAAAGACAGACAAATATTTTACTTTGAAAATGAAATTGAAAACGTTACGCATGCGTTTTCAATGGCTTTTCAGGGGTTACTCGGGCGAGGCGGCGGCGGGAAGGGGGAGAAGGGGGCTCGCTCAAAGCTATCGAATGACACAAAGCATAAAGGAGAAGGAAAAAAAATTGATGCCGCGAATGCGAGCGCTCCAAAGTAAAATGGAAAATTGCATTCACACAAAAGTGCAGCAGCTGGAAACGTGAGGTGAGGCAGCTGCCACACAATCCTACCTGCGTCCAACCTACCCCCCCCCCCGTAACCCCTCCCTTACCGACGCCCCTGCAACACCCACTCTGTAATGAAATGTGATCTGTGCGTAGTTTGTTTTTCTTTCACTATATTTCCGTTTTTCTTTTTTCTTTGACCAACTCGCGCGAGCCAATAAAAGTAGGAGCCAACGCAGCGGCCTCTGCCAGAAGCTGTCCAGCTTTAAAGGCATCCGAACGCCAGGATAATCGCCGCAGCAGAAGCAGCAGGACCAGGATAAGGCGTCATTCGCCATGTCCGCACGCATATCGATTGCCATATTGTGGCTCATTTGGGCCAGGCTAAAGACCGATGCAGCCGCGGTCAACAGCGGCGAAAGGTAAGCCACAAGTGACAACAGTCTCACAGTCGAGTGTACTGGAGTGTACTCGACTGCACCATGCTCTATTCACAGTGTGTAAAACGAACAAGGCAATCGCGAAGAGTTCTCTTGATTATTGGGCGAGTGACTCTCAAACTGTAGCTACATAGCGGGGACTCTCAAGATTCGAACCAGCTAGGTCTCAAATCGATTGCACATAACCAATATGCCCGTTTTTCACTTTGTGAATAGAGTATAAGGACGCTATTGTGCAAATAAATTGCTGTGTCTCTAAATCTTCTTGCCCAGGGTCCACATACGTCTGCACATGCCGGAGGTTGTGCGTCAGCATACGCATTTTCACAAGGTCTACAAGCACTTGCCACACCCACTGCCGCCCCCTCAGCAGCTGATGTCAGTGTCGGCGCCAATGGGCAAGCCGCATGTCTCGCTGCTAGGCTACACGACAACGGCGAGCGGCAGCGGGGGCATGGCGCCCAGTCTGAGGCAGCTAATGGCCACAGCTGCCACGCCCATGGCCATGCCGATGCCCATGCCCATGCCCATGCCCACGCTAACGCCAAACTATGGACCCGCACTCTTCGATAGCTACAATCATCAGCAGGCAGAGGCGGCAGCAGCGACGCCAGACACAGTAAAGCTTAGCAGCAGCGCCAGCAGCAGCAGCTCCACGCGGCAACAGCAGCAACTGCTGCAGCAGCTGTTCGCGGCGATTACAGCCGCGCAGAAGCAGCGCTTGGAGCAGCAACTGGAATTAGAGTCGGAGCAGGAGCAAGATCCTGCACCGGAACCGGAACTGGAGAATAACGAGCTGCTCAATGAGAACTTTATGGCTGCACTGCAGCGCGAATATCTGTCCAAATTTGGCGGCAGGCAGCGCAAACGCAAGAAGGTTAACTTTGTGAGCAAGCTGCGCGGCAAGCCGCAGCAGCAGCAGAGCAGCGAGGAGCAGTTCGATGAGTACCAGGAGCCGTACCTAGAATCAGCCAAAGCCTGGGCGGAACTCGGCGACAATCAGGATGAGAATGAAGATGACAGTGCGGCGGCATTTAGCGGGCAAAATAATGCGCTCAGTTCCGTGTCCAGTGTGGACGAGTTTCTCAATGATGTGGGTGGCAACGCCTTTGCGCCGCACTATGGCAGCATGTATAACGAGTATGGCAACACCGGGTACGCTGGCAGCACTGGCCACACTGGTCACACTGGTCACACTGTCTGGCAATCCGCGCCCAGCGCTTTCAGCAGTTATGCGCGACCCACAAAAGCCACGCCCACACATTTGAGAGCACTTCGACAGCGACGACCCAACGAAACGGGTTCGGGCATGGGCAGCACTGAAGCAAGTGCCGGAAAAGTGCGCTACATCAAGTTGACAACGCGCAAGAAACGCAAAAATCGCATCAAAGCGAAAAGATATCGCACTTAGACATAGGATATATAGACTATATATCATTATGAGAGGATATATAGAGATTATATATGATTATGATACGCAGCTGTCTAGTTATTAGCTGTTAGCATACTTTTTTGAGTCAATCTGCAGTTAAACTTCAACTCTTACGTTAGTATTAAATATTAACAATGTTATGTTTTGACCTTTTTGTAGTAAAGATTTGATGTAGATGTGAAATTAGTTTACTTTCAAATCACAGTTTGAGGTTAGTATTATTTTTGAAGCATTTCTCAACACTTCAAGAGGATGCAACTAAATAGATTCGCCAACTGCTTTTAGCGAGCAGCAAAAAGTAAGCTGGGCTTTGACCTGGTAAGCATTACACAGCGTTGCCAGTCAGTTGCCAAAAAAACATGCTTTTAGGCCAGAGTTGCCACCTATTTTGTGACCATAAACAGTTAAGGATTCATAAAGTTCTGTTAAGCATTTGTTTACTGTGTCTTGAGACATTGCAAAGCTTTGCCAACCGGTTGACATTTGGCAAAGTAGCTATTTTTAAGCGCAGAGTTGTCACCTAGACTGAAAAAGCAGTCTTTAACATTTAAGGTTTCAGTTAAATGGGTACAAATAAAAAATAAAATGAACTAGTTATTTTAAGCAAATAAAGTTGGGTAGCTTCTTAAGGAATCTTTTTTGTTATTTTTTATACCTTCCACAGTCTATAAATTTAACTTAACTACACAAATTTCTTACCCACACATATGGAGCTATTTTAGGGCTGTTTTTCCTTAGTTCACTATTAGCCATCTAAGCAATATCAATTTTCATTCGCAATCACTTACCTGTAAAGAGATAAAAGTTATAAAAGAAAAGTTAGTCAAATTAAATGGAGAATACTTCTAGAGCACAGCACTTAAATAATCATAGTAATTACGAGAAACAATTTCATGATGCCTTTTTCATCTAGTGTCTAGCCCCGAAATTGCTCATCCACAAACAAATAGCATATTATATTAGCACACAAAGCATTAAAGGGCCGAACCCTGCTACCCGGACCAGGGCAAGTATATATGGGAATGGAAACCCGAACCCCCTCAAGTTTCTTGGGAAATAAAGTATACGATTAAATGTGGGGGAGAAAGAGGGAAAGCGAGAGCAAATAATAAGTACAAATGCTAATAAAATTCAATTAAAGGCCACAAAATTACAATAAAAGTGGCTGGAAAACTAACTCGGCAAGGGTCGCCGGTCAGGATTCTGGTGCGTACTCCTCTAGGGCAGGGCTAGGTTGCGGCGGGTGTCACATGAAAAGTCAAAATTAACGACTCATTTGGGCAAATTGAAGCCATAAACTACAAAGCAGCAAGGCCAGACGCCCGGCCAAGACGGGCCACAGTATCATGAGCCAAGACTAGCGAAGAAAACCCAAGTCCACAACTTCAACCCCCTGCCCGAAGCCCAGAGCTGACGTCACTGTGCACAGCAGCCAAAATATAAATTACGCACAAAATTCCAAATGAGTGACGAGCAGGCATTAGTGGGAGGGCAGACAGGAAAATAGGAGGGGGGGGGGGGGGGGGGGTACCACTGCACTCGGAGTTGGGTTTAAGGGGCGACGCTTGGAGCTCTGACGCTTTGTTTATGTCCAAGGGCTCATCCTTTATTTTCGTTTTTGGCAATAATTTTTACTACATTTTGCCTTTGCTCATAAAAATGTGTCATACAAAACGCCCCGCTCCCCGTTTCGCAGTTTCTCTTTCTCTATTTCTCTCCATCTCTCTATTGCTCTGTTATGTCAAGCATTTTCTGCATACTTTCAGGCGATATTAAAAGCGTGCAAGATTTTCATTTGTATAACTGTGTATTTGAGAGGAAGAGAGAGAGAGAGAGAGAGAGAGAGAGAGAGAGAGAGAGAGAGAGGGGGAGGGGGGGAGATTGGGCGTGAGAGGGGCAGAAAATTGCCCTCCTTTGGCTTCTGGTGTGGGCGTGGCATCTGGCAAGGCGACACATAAAGTGTTGATGTGTCAACCGAATGACATTTATTGTTTAGGGGGCGGCAAGGAGGACGGACACAATTTCCCTGGCTCCATGCAAACGTTTATTATGGCCGCCAGATGGCGTCAACGTGCCGCGACGACAGGCAACAAGTGGCAACGCCGACCGTAGCCAGGGGCAAAGCAAGCATGTTAAAGGCTTCAGCGGATTCCTTGTGCATATATGTGGACGGATAGCCGACCCGCTTGCTTGGCGGCCATATTTGCCATGATCTACTTTTCCAATTCATTTGATTTACAGCGGAAATGAGAGAATTTTCGCATATGTAAAGCTCTTGATATATGGTTATTTTATATGGTCGGAACATAAATGATTATTTGCAAATGATCTACGAGCGATTTTGATATGAATGTGTGTCTATTGGTGGGCTGGGATTAGATTGCGGGATATTTACTACAGATATTTGATAAAAGCTTTAACAGATTCTTAATCCTTACGATTTAGTTTGGGATTCAAAGTATATATACGAAAAATATATACAGGAAATGTGGCAGCTTATATACTCAACAGCTAAGCATGTGCCACAGCTTTCAAAATAAATATAATCTATGCATTAACAATAAGTTTTTCTAGTAACTAATGCGCAAGCTGGCAGCACTGTCAGCAGTTTATTCAGTACTAAAAGCCTGAGCTTGGGCAAAACGTGAACTTTTTATAATTTTAAGCGAAATGGGCAGCACTTGCTTTTAAAATGTCTGGCTTTAAACAGATTCTATAGCTAATTTATTTGGTAGCACTCAACACAAATTGGCAGCACTCTTTAACAACGCCGTAAGCTGTCTGCACTGATTGCACTTTGTTCAGTATAATTTTAAGCCAAGCTGGCAGCACTTTATTTAGATTTTAAAATGACTTCAGTAACATTTTAAACCAAGTTGGCAACACTTATTAGGATTTTCAATTGGCTGAACTAATAAAAGAGGTTAAGTTTTTAATAACTTTTAAACAAGTAAACAGCAACAATTGAGTTGGCAGCTCAAAAAATTCACAACTAAGCTCCGTTTAAGGGAAAGAAACACTTGCAATGATATTTTATAGGAGTAAAAAGTATCTACCTTTATATTTATTTATGTACAAATTTCCCGATTAAGTGAAACGTTTATCGTTTGCCATTACATTTTGGCCTTTGTTTAATGAAAGTGGAAATTGAAACGCACAATTTCCTTTATTTATAACCCCAACACAATTATATATGCACCATAAAAGATGTGACAGTGTAACATTTATGTATATATATTCTCGTACATATATTCTCATGTATTTAATTTTATGTATTCGCAATACAAAATTAATTTTCCAGCTGTGGTTCCTTTGTTTTTTTTCCGCCCCCTCAAGGACAACAATAAATGAAATGAATAAATAAATACGACATTATCACTGCAATTTCGACGCACCGTACATCATTTGTCTTTCGAGGCGGCATGGGGGGAGGATTCTCTGGTCTGCCACGCCTCCTGCGCCCAATTTTGTTAGAGAATGATTAGAAAATGCCATCGGGCTCTGTGGCTAGCATAAGAATTGCAATGGCAAACAATTCATTAATTTAATTAATTTGTGGCAATTAAATGAAGAATGGGGGTTGCTGCGGGGGGTGACTGGATTGTTGCTGCCACGTGGGGCAACTAGAAAAGCCGCACAGTCATCATCAACTCAACGCTTGAGTCATTATTTATACGCATATATCTAGAGCTCTACAACACTCTCCCTCTCACTCTCTCATTCTCTCTTTTCTTTTCAACCTGGTCATCATCTGGGGGCTCATCGATTCCCCAGGACGCGCCCCCGCTTATTGTTGCTGGCAGAAAAATGGGTTAAGTGTGTTCCATGTCCGTTTCGTAGGGCAGATAACGACAAGCTGGGCCTCATTGTTCGAGGTGTTGAAATGTGGCACTTAGCTGGGAGGCAGATGCAACAATAACATTTGTTTACGCTACACAAAAGAAGAGCAAGACGTGGACGAAGAAGAGCGGCGACAACATCTACCTACAAATTAAGAACACACTTCAGATACTCTTTAATTGCTTGTCATCGTGACGCCACGAAATGATTCAGCTCGAAATGTGATTAAAGAGCGCTTGGTACTTGAGAGAAACACAAAATAATTTGGGGAAACATGTACAAAATGTATTCCTTTTCAAATAATTATAGAACACACAATACTTTTGTATTAACTTCTATTGTAGCAGTACAATATGTAAGTTTCAGTTTTAGGCACGGAAAGCGTTTACGAATGCGACACAAAGCAGAATGAAAGAAACAAATGCTGTCTCGTGAGAGACCAAAGCGAGAGAATGAGAGCGGACATCGGAGAGCTCAGAGATGACTAGGGAACCGTACGCGTTTGATAGAGAAATATGTACGATAGTATATAATTTGATGAAACAGGCAAAGAAACGGTTCAGTGTTGTAAAATTCTTAAAATATAGACACAAATTGGCCAAACATTGTGAAAAGTAAAACATAATCTATCATCATAAAAGCGTAAAAGCGCACTCAAAGTTCGTTCTAATAGATACATGTTGGTGTCCTCTATATTATCTCGAGTAGCCTTAACCATTTAGCATATGCATTGGGGGTGTGTTCGTGGCCCCAAACGATTAGCCCGAACAGCATTTGCATAATATAAGCCCCAGACCAGGGTTTAAGTGCTCTGCGGCGTCGTGGTCATGCACTCGTCAGCTCAACCGCTGGACAACTGAGCAATTTAATTAAAATTAAAAGTACAACTGCTGCAAAAACAACAACAACCACCACAACAATAACAAGGACAGCCAGAACAAGTCGAAATACTCGCGGGTATTACGAATGTATTACAAAATGCTAATTAAATGCCATGAAATTGGGCCAAGCCTCGCAAATGTGAGCCACTAATCACACCCACGCCCCAGACCCGCCTCTATGAAGCGCATAAGGGTGTGGCTTTGGGGTTGTTATTGTTTTCGTTTTTTTTTTTGCTGCGGTCTCAAGTGCATTGTGTT